GAAAATAGTAAAACAGATTAAAGATTGGCAACCAGAAGGAAAGAGGGAAGATGTTGGAAAGATACAATGAAGAGAAACAGTGAACTGGTCACAATGGATGATCAAGTCTAATGCACAAGAAGAAATTCTTAGATAATATTAGTTCAGTTTTATATATTACCTACAACCAGTGCACTTTTTCTAAAATCATTTCTGCCAGTATGCATATATAATAACTGAACATATAGAATTATTTTTGCTGAGTAACTGCCAGTACTATTTGCAGACTATTGATAGTGCTTATGCTATCTGCCAGTATGGCATACTGATGTGTTTAGCCCTGCTTACAACCGACATATTATTTATTCCTATGACTGTTCAATTACTTCTAACAGTTTAACTCAACAAAATATTCACAACACAAAAATAAGTAAACCCTAAAAATATTTTAATGATATAAGTTTTATAGATCAGGTATAAGTTGATATTTTAGAATGTATAAGAAATACAAGATATTTATGATAGCTTCTCATATTTCTTACACCTTATTGTAAATTATTTTAAACATTTACAATAAGGTGGACATTTATAAAATGGGAAAGAAGTTATTGGATTTTTTAGTATATCATAAATGAATTTTATTAAATATTTTTATACTTTTAATTTTAGCAATTAAAAGTTTTAATATTGAATTAAATATTTAATTTATTCCAACCAGTTTCAAAATTTAAAAAAATCATATGATTCTCATTTAAATAAGTCATAATTTAAAAACTGTTTATAATATTGAGTTATACAGTAGAGCGTCGATTTTCCTAAATTCNATAAAACTATTACTAATGAACCAATTCAAACTTGCATGTCTTTAAAATATTTTATTTATAATATCGATAAAATACAATTATTTCATTAAACACTACCTTCATAATTTTGAAAAATATTTTAAATTTAGATGTGATTTGAACTTATTTACAAAATAATTGCTTACTAATGAAACAAAACACAAAGATTTTTATTTGAAAATATTAGCAAAATCTTTGAAATATTTTCATTTTAAAATGTTAGTAGTGTTTAATATATTTTGTTCCATTTCCATTAAAACAATTTTTGTTAATATGTTTGCAAGAAAAGACATTATATTGATTTTGTTATTTTAACCTTGAAAATTAATTTTATACAACTATTCTGATTACATTTCCTATTATGTAAACATAAGCAAATATTATAAAATAGCTGACTACTTTATGTTATCTGGTAATCAATAATTTTGCAATAAAAATTTTTCTAATTATTATTACATGTATTTTATTTTTATTTTTATTTTATGCCACTGATTTTTATTACGTCAAATTTTTACATATCCAAATCCGTTTAGTATCTTTGAATGTTAAGATAATAAATATTTTTTCAAAATGTATGAAAATTTTAACAAATAACTCTCAATTAAGGTGAAAAAATTTCATTTGATAATTTAAAGAACAGTCATATTTACACTAGGCTATTTAAAATATTAATTTAAAAAAAATTAATATTTTAGATTATTCATAAAACAGAAGATAAAATTTAAAAAAAGAATAAAAAAAATAAATAAATATGCATTTCAAAAGAAGTTTTACACAAAGACATTTCATTCATAGCCAGGCAAAAGAAGTGTTTGATGAAAGCATTGTACTTACCAAGAAAGAAAAATTTTTTAGTATACAAATATGTTTAGAAATAAAACACTATAAATTCTTAGATTTATAATTTTATTTCTTAGATTAGAATGACAGATGGGAAAATAGTAAAACAGATTAAAGATTGGCAACCAGAAGGAAAGAGGGAAGATGTTGGAAAGATACAATGAAGAGAAACAGTGAACTGGTCACAATGGATGATCAAGTCTAATGCACAAGAAGAAATTCTTAGATAATATTAGTTCAGTTTTATATATTACCTACAACCAGTGCACTTTTTCTAAAATCATTTCTGCCAGTATGCATATATAATAACTGAACATATAGAATTATTTTTGCTGAGTAACTGCCAGTACTATTTGCAGACTATTGATAGTGCTTATGCTATCTGCCAGTATGGCATACTGATGTGTTTAGCCCTGCTTACAACCGACATATTATTTATTCCTATGACTGTTCAATTACTTCTAACAGTTTAACTCAACAAAATATTCACAACACAAAAATAAGTAAACCCTAAAAATATTTTAATGATATAAGTTTTATAGATCAGGTATAAGTTGATATTTTAGAATGTATAAGAAATACAAGATATTTATGATAGCTTCTCATATTTCTTACACCTTATTGTAAATTATTTTAAACATTTACAATAAGGTGGACATTTATAAAATGGGAAAGAAGTTATTGGATTTTTTAGTATATCATAAATGAATTTTATTAAATATTTTTATACTTTTAATTTTAGCAATTAAAAGTTTTAATATTGAATTAAATATTTAATTTATTCCAACCAGTTTCAAAATTTAAAAAAATCATATGATTCTCATTTAAATAAGTCATAATTTAAAAACTGTTTATAATATTGAGTTATACAGTAGAGCGTCGATTTTCCTAAATTCAATCATCTGAAAGAATTCCAGTCTGCAAATTTAAATTTTTGCCAATGCTGTGGCGCTTCAATCTTTGGCTATGTCTTGGGCTACTCAAATATTTTACGTTTTTGATACTAAATTAACATCCGAAGTATAATTTTTTATTGTTTTTATATTTTTCAATATATTTATTTTGTTTGTACAAAATAAAAAAA